TTACCCAACAAATAAAATTTTATAATTTTTTTTTTAATACCATAGATAAGTATTAAGTATATAATATGTCTTATACCTAGACTGACATACCGTCTCCGCTCAGAATCGTTTTTCTTATACAATGATATATCATTGAATTCAAATTTAATACCATCCATTATACAGCGACCCCCTTGTAACCTACGGTACAGCAGAGCACCTTTTTTGAAAATAAATTTCCGTGAGTAAAATATTTTAAATAAATTAAAAGGTGAAATTGAAGTCTCTGAAATGATTATTTTCCTAAGTCTTAAGAATATAAAAATAACCAAAGTTAATTTGATAAAATAGTAGTTTTTTAACCACAAAAATTTTATGTTTAAAACCAATACATACTATAATATCGATTTAAACGGTCATACGGAATAAAAATCACTTTAGTGAGTTTAGCTATATTTAAATTTCGATCAACGAGAAAAAACAATATTTATGTAGGTACTTTAGTATAAAGTTAAAATTAGTGTTTCACTGTTTTTTCATTTCGATTGGAATTTTTATTTCATAAATATTATTTTCGGTTCAACACATCATACACGTAAAATGTATTATTCCGATTCGCGGCCTGTACGCTGTGCCATCGAAGGATTGTAGGCGCCCATGGGCCCCGGGTACATTATAATAGATTTATCGAATCACTTTTTTACGAATAAGGTTTCGATAATCGCATTTACCGAGAAATGAAAATATAAGCAGCGTGTTATACGATTCCGTACTCACACACACATGAGTCACGAGTTATGACACATACATATTATTACATACACACTTTCCCACTATACCTACCGACTAATGTGTTTATTGTAAGCACAATAGAAATGTATCGGGAAACTTTAAAACTCAGGACTATTACCTTACTTTAGTTGTTTTCTTTGGCTGACGTCCACTCCTATATTATTATGTTTATTTTAGTATACTCTTCTATATGTCATATAGATTTACCTATCTCGGTTTTATACTAATGAACCGTACATAGAATTATAGAACCACTTCAGGTCACTGTAATGTAACCACGGTGATCACTGATATTAGTATCATTGCGTTTGACGTGATTCTATGTTAAATATCCAAGAACAAAATATTTAAATGAAAAAATGTACGATAAAAATCGTTTTTATTTTCTTAATTTAAATTGTATATTATAAATAATAATAATTCAAATTCCGGACAGACATTTTGAAATTTCGTCGTAGTCAATAGATACTAGATAGATTTTTAATTTAATTAGGTAGTAGGTACCCTAATGTAATTTATAGATTGGGAATATCTCTAGTCTCTACTAGATACAATGATGGTTGTATTTCTCATCACGGAGTTATTATAATTTATTTTGTTTTTCTCTATTACTATTTTTGATTTGTGGCGGACGTTGTACAACGGTACCAATTCATGCTATGCTATTTTTGTCTCGTATGCTGCATTTTATAGTCACTTTTTGTAATTAATGTACACATTTTCGGATGTACATAGTATATCATATTATATACAGGGTGATTTTTTTATCGAAGAACACTCATTATTTCAAAAAGTATTAATGTTTAAAAAAATATTTTTTTACATAGTTTCAAGTAGTTAAAAAACAATATTTTTATTAAAAAATTATATTTTTAAATATTTTTTATCCTTTTAATTTTTTAAGTTTTTTACTTTTTTGAATGACAACATCTAATTTTAATTTGATATTCAAAAACAGAATATTTTTCTGAGTATTTCGATACATAAAAATTGAATTTAGGGCAATTAGTTTATGAGTTATAAGTATTTAAAGTTTAGATGAGCGGAGTAGAGGACAAACATTTCGCGGGGTAACCCCGTACCACTCTACTCCGCTCATCTAAACTTTAAATACTTATAACTCATAAACTAATTGCCCTAAATTCAATTTTATGTATCGAAATACTCAGAAAAATATTCTGTTTTTGAATATCAAATTAAAATTAGATGTTGTCATTCAAAAAAGTAAAAAACTTAAAAATTTAAAAGGATAAAAAATATTTAAAAATATAATTTTTTAATAAAAATATTGTTTTTTAACAACTTGAAACTATGTAAAAAAATATTTTCTTAAGCATTAATACTTTTTGAAATAATGAGTGTTCTTCGATAAAAAAATCACCCTGTACAGTGTCGACAGTGAGCTGAACTTTGCGAATGTTGATTTTATTATAGGTATTATTATTAATTAATATTAATATTAAATCGGTATAAGTAACAATTATTTTGGTTTAAATATTTGGACCGAGTACAATCATCGATAAAAATAAATAACTAGAATTTGGTAATTATTAGGAAATTGTATAAGTTATATGCCTTTATATTAACAATTTATATGATGTTTTTGTGGCCATTACTCTTTCCACCGATTAAACGTTACCAGTCTTTCAGGACTCTATTATTATTTTTCTTGGTTTATCTATACAAGCTGTCATGCATAAAATACACCTTGGCCAAATCAATATTTTATCAATTTATCATCAAAATTCTATAAAATGATAATTGTTACATGACGAGTTTCGACGTGATACTAAAAATTCAAATTTTAAGTTTTTTTTTTAAACCTCATTTTGAAAAAAATACCAAGTAAATATTTACAATAAAAAATTGTCATTGAAATGACATGAATATTTAATTGAAATAAAAAATGTTACTTGATAAGCTTTACCTCAGAGGGTCTTTTACTTTAAAAGTAAACTAATTTTTGAATTATTTAGTTATAATTTAAAATAACTTACGATATCTATAGATGTACAGTGTATTATATTTATATAGTTAGTTCAAAGTAGACACTTGAAGTCAACACTTATCTGTAATAATGTAATAATACTTATACATATAGATAATAAAGACACGGATAGGACATAACGTCTTATTGCTGAAGAATGAAATTATATGAATTGAGGCCAAAAAAGTATACCTATATCGATTATCTGATTATCTATATAGATGTAATCATAAGTATAAAAATGTAAACAAACGGCCTCAATTTCTCATCTAAGTTGGACCTCAAAACTAACACATAATGCATACGTTATGTCCTATCTATGTAGGTAAGTACTTGTAATTTATTTATCTACTAACAATTGCATTTAAGTAATTAAGTATATTCACAAATGACTTGATATTATGGTATTAAAACTGTTTTGGACAACTGAAGTTGTTCGTAGTTCTATAACAGTATAATATAATATTATTCATTTTATATATGTTTGGTGATTATATAGGTACGCAGATTGTCGTGCCTGCAGTATAGTTACTAGCTAGAATTATACATTTATATAGTATGCAAAGCATATTATATACTTTCCAATTTGAAATAAAATTCGTATAAACTTAATAAAATTACTTTAAGCATTATAGACGTATATACTATTATAGACTATACCGAATAGTACATTGAATGATATTATAATGATAGTATTAAAATAAAATAAAAATAATAACAATTCCACTTTTCTTCACGATCATAATATTATGTCCATTTTGCGTCCTCAGAATTTCCCTAAACGACACGTGCCTGCTGAGTTAGACCCACCGACCTAACCTGACGGACAGAACGCATGCGTCGTACGGTCATAGTCTTGCTAGTTGCTAAGGCCTAATACCTACAAGTGTATATTATATCATTATTTATATATAAATAAAAAATATATACCTATATAGTATATACTATACACGATACACGTGTATATAATAGTATATAATACATAATATTATATATATATGCAGTAGGTAGTATAGTAGGTTGATGTACCCCCTCTACTCTCACCTCTCGTGGAACGGTATAGTGTATATTATTAAAGAAACTACGACGCGGAGCAACGACCCGAGAAGAAAAAGGATCGACACGATCTATAACATACAATAATAAAAATAATCATCTATATAACAAACAAGGTACAAAAAAATATATATATTTGTTTGTTGAGAGCTGCAACGACGATCCCGTAGTCAAATCGTATAATTTATAATATTATGTAAAGGTGTACTAGTACAACTGCAGC